GTCTGTCAAGACCTTTGGTAGAAATGGCGCCTTTAATTCCAGTTTGCAGTACAGAACAGAGAAAACTACAGAGTTGTCAATGTTGTGTTAATCTGTTTATCGTCTAAAAAGAGGAGCCAGCAGTTTATTTGAGGAAATAAAGGTGCAGAAGTTAATTAGTTGGTTAATTAGTGGTTGTGCAGCAGTCTGCTGCACGACCAATGCGACCGCCGCTGCTAAGAATTAAAATTAATTCTCCCTGTGGTTTTAACTAACGATCAGGAGCGCGGCAGGTATAACATCTGTCAATTTCGGCGAATCAAAACCACGCAAAAAATTAAAAAATCCTCGTTAAACGCACGCCCAGATCGGGCTAATTTCAACACAAGTTGTGTTAGGTGACTGTAACTCACACTGACGTTTCTCTTTTTAAAAAAATCTGAGTCAGTCCTACTGCTGTTTCAGCCTTTTAGTTGGTGGTGGCATTGTACTGAAATGAGATATATAAAAAAAAAAAAAACATTTTGGCTAGCGTAGCAAACGTCTAGAGAAAGTTAGCAGTTAAATATTGGATGAGTGATCATCCCAAGACTACGGAAGAGGATTAGGGCCACTGAAAAAAAAAAAAAAAGTTAAGTGATTTTTAAATTTCATTTCAGTTTAATACGGGAAAAAGGTCAGAATTCTGACTTTTTTTTTCTCAGAATTCTGACTTTAATCTCAGAATTTTGGATCTTAATGTAGATGGTCACCATGAAGGAAGAGATGTGGGAGCACTCAGCTTCACTGACAAAGATGTGAGTTGTTTGAGGTTGCCAGTGACACATTGGTGGAAAATGACAGAATTAGGCAACTTTTTACGTGCCCGAGGGGTCCCCTCATTAATGGAGGAGCAGAAGAGAGCTAGTCTCTAAAACAGACATGGCTATGGCTGGATGCTAACATGTTTGTTTTTAAACATACTTTTGTTATATTACATTTGTGTTGTGTTTTCCAAATAATGTAGAAAATGGATGGTGGGTTTATAATGTTTACCTTTTATGAGCAGGACAGGAAGCAGAGAAGTGTAGCATTACCTCCAACTAGTTAAACTCATAATTATGAAGTTATTCAACAAATTCCTCAAGTAAAAAAGTGCAACTTTTATTTTTTATTTCTTTTTGTTGTTTTTTTTTTTTTTACCAGATTTGTTGATTAATTTCAGAATTATGTATTCCTTCCAAATTTCCAAATCTGAACAATTTTTTAAACCAATATCTACATTATTTAACATTTAGTTTATGTTTTAGCAGTACTTCCTGTTATATTTCTTTATACGTATATTTTACATTTTCTTGCACAGCAAGCTCAGCAGATTTGAAATTGTGTGCTTGTGTAAACACTAGTCAATCTTTACTCTAAACATATATTCTGGTTATTTTTTAGTTAGACCTACTTGTTTTTATGTATCTGTATAAGTACCCCCCCGAAAAAAAATAAAAACACTGTAAATTGATTAGAAATATTAATCATCTGTCAGATTTCTGAGAAAAAAGTCAGAATTCTGAGATTAAAGTCAGAATTCTGAGAAAAAAGTCAGAAGAAAAAAGTCAGAATTCTGGGATTAAAGTCAGAATTCTGAGAAAAAAGTCAGAAGAAAAAAGTCAGAATTCTGGGATTAAAGTCAGAATTCTGAGAAAAAAGTCAGAAGAAAAAAGTCAGAATTCTGAGAAAAGTCAGAATTCTGACTTTTTTCCCCATGTTAAACTAAAAAAAAAATGTAAAAATCAGTTAACTTTTTTTTTCCAGTGGCCCTAATCCTCTTCCGTACAAGATGACTAAACCAAAAAGATTCAGTTTCTATATATGAAAGTGAAATAAAAACAAAACGTTATAAATGGGCAATATTCATAGCAGCATCCCGACAGACTATTTTACCTCTTTCACAAGTTTCTGATTTCTGTGTCGCCGTTTCCCTCCCTGCTGACTGAGTGCTCAAACACTCAGCAGTTCAGAGAGGGGAGGGGGAGTACAGTGACGTAACGCTATGCTGCGCCTTCAAAATAAAAGCACGCTAGTTAAAAAAATGTCAAAATCTAATATTTTGCGGTACAATTTTTGGGGGGGACATATCCACCTGGCTTTTATATTGGGGGGGACATGTCCCCCCCGTCCCCCCCGCTTCCTACGCCGCTGGCTGAGGTACACCTTGTTAAACTGCTTCTGTGGCTCTTCTAAACTTTTAGTAGGGTGAAGGAAAAGGTAGCACCAGCAATAAATGGATGCAAACCCCGACAGTTTGAGAGTAACGTTAAAAGAAAATGAAAGTGAGATTTTTTTTCCTTACCTCCTATAAAATCTGTGCAGAAAGGAGGGGAAAAGGGCTCAATGTGGTATCGGTTCGGGGAGGGGGGGAGCTGCGCGGCATGGTGGGGTGCGGGTCTTGGGTCCTGTTTTGGGCTCCGGTTTTTCCGCTCGCACTTCTCCTCTTGCCTATTTATTTTAATTGTAATTATTAATTAATTTATTTATTTACCTATTTATTTGTTTGTTTTTTTTTTTTTTTTTTTTTTTTTTTTTTTTTCTCTTCCTCGGTGGGGGGGAGCGGTTGCGGGCGGGTCGGTGTCTGGTGTCCGCTGTCGCATTGTGGGGGCCCCTTTTTCTTTTTTTTTTTTTTTTTTTCTCTTTTTTTCTTTGGGGGGTTTGGCATGTCTGTTTTCTCGGGGGCAGGCGGGCCTGCTGGGTGGGGGTCCTGCTGGCGGCGCGCCGCTGGTGTGTGGGGGTCCGGGCGGCTCCGGCGGGGGTAGTGTTGGGGGGCCGGTCTGGGCGGGCTGGCTGCGCTGGCTGGGTATTCGGGTGGGTTTTCCCTCCTGGAGGCATGGCGGGGCTGCTCTGTTCCCACTGATCGCGGCGGGTGGGGCTGCGGGGCGGGTGTGGGCCTGGGGTGGCTATGACCGGCGCGTGGTGGGGGGCCGGGGCGGCGGAGCTGCTCTGGCCGCGTGTCGGGGCCTGGTGCGGGCTGCGGGGGGGGGTGGCGGACGTGGCTGGGCTGCTTTGGCATCGTCCGGTGGGGGGGCGGCGCGGTTCGCTCCGCTCTGGCTTTGTGCTGCCCCTCGGGCTGCTGGGGGGGGGTGGTTGCGCCGGCTGCGGTCTGCTCCTCTTGCGGTTTTGCGCCGGGCGGCTTTTCTGCTCTCGGGCTGATTCTGTGCGCGGTGTGTTTCGTTGCGCGCTGTTGGCATCGGTCTTGGTGGGGTGGGGCTGCGCTTTTGGCCGGGGGGGGCGTTTTGGGGGGGGGTCCCGCGGCGCTCGTGGCCGGTTCGCGGCGGATGCGCATGGGCCCCGGCCGGGGGCGGGGCCGTCTTAGTGTTTTCCTGGGGGGTGCGGTCGCGGTGGGTGTTGCGGCCGGTCGCCGGGGCTTGGTGCTGGGGGGCGGGGCGTGTTTCGGTGCTCTGTGGGGCTGGGGCGTTTCGGTCGGCGCCGTGGGGGGGCTGGTGTTCGGCGCCCGGCCCTACTTCGGGGTGGCCGGCTGCCGGCGGGGCCCGCGGACTCGTCCCCGCGGCTCCCCGGGGCGCCGGCATGGCGGTGGCTGGGGGGCTTCCTCGTGGCTGTCTCTCCTCCTGCCTTGGTGGGGTCTGATTTCCGGGGCTGGCCCCGCCTTGGTGCCTTCGCTTCTGGGGTCCCCTTGGGCGCCTGGGGCTTTGGGTCTCCCGGCGCTGGACTCAGTGCTCTGGGGGGTGTGCCTCTCCGGCTCTCCACAACCACTATTGAGCATTTTTTTCTATGGTTAAAACTTTACATGCACAAGTTCACCCTCACAAACAACTACAGGTGCTAGGCTTCAGGTACTTAGAGATTCACTTCCAAACAGAAACCCCACATTCATATCTTCAGGTAACACAGAGTACATGTCAGACTTAATAATATTACTTTAGTGATAGTTTCAAGGTGTTTGCTTTATTGTATATCTCATACCATGTTTTTTGGTTGTGCTGTTCTTTTTTCTTTTTTTTTTCTCCATCTCATTACAGGTGTTGAAGCAGACTGAAAATGTTTTGTCATTGTCTCCTTCCTATCTCCTCTTTCTTTCATCTTTTGTCCTGTTTTTTTCTTTTTCTTTTTCCTTCTTCTTCTTCTGTTTTTCTGCTCTACTTACATTGCAGTGTCCATATGAACTGTAAAACTCCCTGCATAATTATAATAAAGCAATTTATATACATGAAACAAGTGGAGCGGTATGGCAATTGCGATACCGCTACACTTGTGAAAGTAAAATCTGTTGGGCTCCTTTTGGCATCAAGACAATTATTCTTATTGCCACCTTGCCAGACAGGACACTGTAAAAAAAAAAAAAAAAAAGAAAAAAAAAAAAAAAAAAAAAAAAAAAAGAAAAGGGCTCAATACGCCCTATAACTTTGTGCAATCAGAATGCAATTCCCTAGAAGCATGTTGGATAGCATAAAGAGCTCAGGCTCAGATTAGAATACATTTACTCTGCTAACAGACACCTTCCCACTGTGAAACAAGTCCCACAGTTGCAGTAATGAAAATCGCTCCTGCTACCTGCCACTATTGACAGATAACAAGGTTAAACCCTGGAAATTGTGCTGACTGCATGGGTTCAAGGTAGTTTTGCCACCAAATGTGACGTCTGAAGACCGGTGTTACTGGCAGAACATTGATTTTTAACCAAAGGGACTTTCTTTAGACTTTTATCCTCAGTAGGAAGCCCTCATATTTGGGTGACACTTGGTGAAATTTGCATCAACCAGCTAAATCTGCTTTATTTAAAATCTAAAAGTAGAGGACTAGCATCTGCCAGACACAGACATAATCTTGAGTGTGCAGCAACAAATTTAAGTTATCTTGTTTGCGTTGATGGAATAGTCATGTAAAGTGTCCCATAAATGTGTGAAGGATTTCTGTGTTGTCACAAAAGATACCCTAATGCCTCAGCCTGTTATGGATAATTTCCTGGCTTACTAACGAGTGTGCCGTTTGTGTCTTTTTGCACATTAACCTTCTCCGCCGATCGCTGCATGCAGATAACTGGGAGCAAAGTGGCGGTAAGTAGCCTATTATTTATTTGGCTTTGAAATCTTGTTACGACTTTGTATGTGTCTTCATTTCTCCGAACCCACGCATCCACACACAGATATGCACACACATCAAGGCATTGTGTTTCAGACAGCTGGTTAGGAGCGCATTCCAAGCTGTGCGCATAAGGTCATTGTTATTCCTTAGATTTGTGTTAGATTTTTATAAATAAAAGTAAAAGACATTTGTACAGTCTGACGATTTTGGTAGATGTTTTCTTTCTGCAGGTTTTCTTTCACAGTGTTATAAAAGAACTATTGGGTTTTGAGTGATGGAAATCCATGGACTGTTTTTAACAATGTCTTATTCTTAACGATAATGATTAATTCTGAATAATACACAACTTGGTGCACACTGAAGACTTCTTGCATGAAAAAGCTAAAATGCACTCATGGACCAAACCACAGTAAGGATGCTACGTCTTTCTTCCACCAAGCATTAAAGCAGTAGGTCCTTTGAAGGTGGCTGTTGGATCACAGTGTCATGGTTCCTCTTCGAGAGTCTTTAAGTTTGAAAGAATAATTTCAGTCAAAAACAGAATCCATAAAAAGTCTCATTGGGTAACGTCTTTTGAAGTGTGGAATTACCACTTTAAGTGTTGCCGCTTAAAGAGCTCTTTGATTGCCTTTCGAGGGCTTCATGACGGTTAAGCAGACTGTAAGGGCTAGAAGCACCAGCGAGGTTAAACGGTGCTCTATGACCTGGCTTTCTTTGAGGCATTTTTTTTTTTATTGATTACCCTTTTCAATCTTTGTCAAACAATTTTTTTGTACTTGCTGTGAGCAATAGGTTTATCAGCTTGGCCTGTGTGGATGGCTACCGAGTAGGTTTCAATCTGCAGTAATAGCTACACTTTGTTCGGTAAATGGAAAAAGGACAATATTGCCTCATTTTCGATCATGACCGCTCATCTAAGATGTGAAGAGCTTTTTTTTCCAGAATCTCCGCAGACCTTTTCAAAGGATACAGCAGGGCTTGGTTATCAATAATTTAGTTTCATTTGAAAAGCTCCCAAAAGTGTTTGACCTGGGATTTTTTTTTTAACCTTTGTGATAATCCCGCAGCTGGGGCAAATAGATAGACCCCCGTACACTAAAAGCCTTGAGCTCCCATTTGTGAAAGCCCCATTGAAAGAGAGGATGGAGGAAACGGTATTTAGCATGCTTAGCCAATCGTGAACTAGTCGAGTCCCCCCCCTACATTTCTGTCAGATTCCTATTTTCACGCTGTCAGCGTGCTGTGTTGAGTGCTCTCAGATGTGCCAGAGGGAAAGTGTTGGTTCTGATGCTCCATTGGGAAAACATGAGTGTAAGTCCTCTGTCTCAGCCATGAAATCTCTCTGGCACTTTCTCTTCTGCTAGTAAGGAATGAGCTAGGAACAGAACGCTGTGAATTGACTTTCATCACTCTGGCCATTGTGGAAGTGTGCAAAGAGTCTCATGTTGTCTTTCAAGCTCCAACCAAAAAGTGAAGAAGATCGAAGCAACATACCTAGGTAGTAACAGGCTTGCAGACAGACTTAAATCAATCAGTTGCACTGTAGCTGCATGGGTGGGCAACAACAGTCCTGGTGTGCCACAGTCCTGCAGATTTTACATGCATCTCTTCTTCAACACACCTGTAACAAATCAATGGTTAATGACCAGGCCTCTGCTAACCCTACCGGTATGCCAAGGAGGTAATTTGGCCCTGTGTTTCAGATGTGTTGGAGCAGGAATGCATACAAAAGCTGCAGGACAATGGCACTAAAGGGCCAACGTCGCCTTTTGCTGGTATACTATATATCTCAGCGGCTCTATGGTGGTTTTGCTGCATAGCAGTCTGTAAGCACTGGCCTGATTTACGTCAGAAGTCAAGGTCCATCCGTCAGTGTCTGCTGCTGCGCAGTTTCTGAAAGTAGACTTCCATCTTGTCTCGTCCATTGACGGACTCTGCAGCTCAAAAGGCTGCTGAGACTTGGGATGAGAGGGCGTGTGATCCATTTGTTGAAGAAACGGCAGAGGAAAATCTCCAAGCCACAGGAAATGATCAATACCTGTACAACTGGACAGATGACTGCTTAGATGCCGGTTGGCTCTGAAATGTCAGGTTGTGTGATGGTAAATAGGGTTGTGTAAACAACTGCTCTCTGAATGTTGTTGTCAGTGTGCAGATTAGACCAAAGAGTCCAGAAAGCCTTATACCTGAGAGAGAAAAGGTCAGAGCTGGTTGCAGTGTTGCAGAATTTACTGGCATTTTCCTATTTCCTCAGAAAAACCAGGTGTGGATTGTGTATGCACACAAAATCTGTATTGTAAATGTTAAACTGTGGCTGGATGTATGGCAGAAAGATAAGAAAATGAAGGCTATATAGCATAAGCAGTTTGAAAAGTATGTTTTAATACAGATGGTTTTTATAAGGCTGACACTGATACCTTTTATTTTCAGTTCGGTCTAAGCGATCACCTATATCTGCTGCAGATATTTTTTTTTCTTTTAGATGTCAATTCTTGTAGCCATTTTTTTTCTTACTTACATTAGCATGATGAAAATGACTCAACAATAAAACATTTAAACACAAATCAAACAAAACATTTTAACTATAGATGGCAAAGAGAGAGACAATAGATGCACTTCCATTGATCTTAAGCCATGGTTGCTGGATGGATGAAAGAATTGGCAAACGCATGGAATTCATGGCTGATGTCGATACAGGAAAAAAAATAAAAATCACCCAAAGTATCGGCCGGCCAACATATCACTCTATCTATGGTATTAAACTCAAACATCCTCTCCATATTTGCAGGTTTACTTGTGCTGACAATATGTGTGATACATGAGTTAGAATCAACAAAGGAGTTAATTACTTTAACTAAAGAATAGGTTCATATCAAGTTAAAATATCAACCATTTATATTAGCTTTATTAAAGGAGAAGTTCGGTTTTTTTACACTTTAAGCCCATTTTCTGTAGTGTCCAGGATGAAATCGAATGATCGACACCAAAAGTTTGACAATTGGTCCTGTCTCTGCTTTTTGGCTCATTTAGAATCAACCCCTGGCTGCTTTAGAATGGCTAGCATAGAGCATGTCCGATAATGTCCTTAAAACAACCTTAAACGTTCTTTTTTTAAAATATGCTACTCACCGTGTCGTCAGCGCTGTTCAATGACGTTCCAAAAAAAGTTTCGTGAAGAAAAAACGTTCCTGTAGTGTTTTATTTAGCATTTTGTAAATCCCATTGAGTTCTGTAGGAATAGTCAATATTCCGCTGCCACCGGAAACGGATATGGAGCCTGTTTACACAGTTGTAGTCTTTTCGCTTCACTCTGTGTACTCCGACGTCGAGAATCAAGAATCCACCTTTCGTATTCCATTTTCAGAGTTTTTTAAAGTGTTTAACAGAGACGTTAGCACCTCGACGTCGGAGTACACAGAGTGAAGCGAAAAGACTACAACTGTGTAAACAGGCCCCATTTCCGTTTCCGGTGGCAGCGGAATATTGACTATTCCTACAGAACTCAATGGGATTTACAAAATGCTAAATAAAACACAACAGGGACGTTTTTTCTTCACGAAACTTTTTTTGGAACGTCACTGAACAGCGCTGACGACCCGGTGAGTAGCATATTTTAAAAAAAGAACGTTTAAGGTTGTTTTAAGGACATTACCGGACATGCTCTATGCTAGCCATTCTAAAGCAGCCAGGGGGTGATTCTAAATGAGCCAAAAAGCAGAGACAGGAGCAATTGTCAAACTTTTGGTGTCGATCATTCGATTTCATCCTGGACACTACAGAAAATGGGCTTAAAGTGTAAAAAACCGAACTTCTCCTTTAAATTAGCATTTTTGACGAAGTGTGCACATTAAGTATTTTTTTTATAGCTGGGGATTTTTTTATTTATGTTACTGCAGTGATTTATAAAAAAAAAAGCTTCATTAGTATGGGAAATAAGCCTTTATGCAGTGTTGATGAACATAGTGACTGGTAGAATATGTCTGTAGTCTGGGCTGAAATTATGACGGGTCGGTGTGAATAGCTGAAGATGGACAAATTGACCTGTGATTAGAAACAAGCTAAAAATCATAACAAATATGTACTTTTTCTAAAGCCTTTTACTTGGAGTTTCTAGTACTCTCCCTTTTTTTTCTTTTTTTTTTTTCTTCCTATGATCGACTAATGTTCTTGAGTTTTGTCTGACTAATTTTCTTTGGAAGGCCAAAGATGAAAAAAGCACATTACATTTATAGCTTTCAGACATGCCTAAATATCTATTACATTTCATTTAATTGTATCAGACATTATAATTCTGACAGACAGCATTATATAAAGATAAATTATATCAGAAATGTTTTGATATAATGCACTCAATTTAAATTTCCTTTTAATAACAGAACTATGTTGTTTGACTTTCATGCTAAGATTTACTGTTTCATATTAAACTACCGTACTATCTGAAATGTTTCTTTGCTGGTTGACTTCAAATAGTCAAAAATCAGCAACTAGGAAATGATTCTCTTAAGAGTTTTAATTCACAGTTGAACCTTTGAGTTATGTGAGAATATTTACTCTCTACTTTTGGTAATAAATAATCCTCTTCAACAAATCTGGTCTTATCGTAGCTTGTATAAGCAACATTTTTCAGTAAATAAAATATAATGTATTAATTAAATAACCTTTCACAGTACTCATGTTTTTACTTCATCTTGTTTAGAATGGGTCAATTATACTCACAAGGTTGATAAAAAACTCAGATCACATCAATGTTCACAAAATGTATATATAGATATGAATATTAAGGAAACTATGAAGAAATCCAGCCTTCCCGCTTCCATTTTATTCTTTCGGCAGAGTTTTTGTTTCACACAAGCTATTAAACTTGGTGCTTTGGGTTGAGGAGATTTGATGTGGCACATGTCCTTGATGCTTTAAAAGGACGGCAATGAAAAATTAATCAATAGCGTGTGCCTCACATGCCCTAAGCCAGTGT